CCTGCTAGGTGTTGCACTCCTGTTCCACCTCTCCCATTCCTATTCTCGCATTCTCATCTGAGGGTGCTTCATCACCTAAATCCGCGCATCTGAACCATGTCTAGGTGGCGACTCGTTCTGCCACCACCATTTCTGCTACATGTCATCCTCACACTGTTACTCGCAACGTTGTTTGAGGCAGTTTGGTTGATAAAGTGACATCGTGCAGTGAGAAGGGTGCAGTCGTCTGCATCCTGCTCAACCAGTTGTTTTGGCGTGAGGGTTCAAAGCGAGAGTAGGATAGCTGGAGCAAATTCACTGCTTACAATGAATAGTTGAACACAAATTCGTGCTGCATGTTTCCCATCTTTGCACAAATTATTGAATCTCCGGCTCTGCACATAAATGTTTTATTTCATTTTTGAAAGAAATGGTTTTTTGTGAGTTCATCGCTTCATTCGAAGTATTGATGATCTGCTTTGATGGATTTTTTTGGGAGTAACAATTAGCACAATAGTCTAGAACCAAAATCTTGCTTTCAGATACCTCCTCCTTCTTAAATGGACCTTTACATACACGTACAAATCTGACCACACAATTGCGCAAGTTAAAATGGATTCAGCTGCTACCCTCTCCCTTGGCACTTTTAACTGCACCAGTATTCATATGGGATGTTTCGCCTCCATCTATTACTTGACTTTGGATAATCCTGTCATAGCTGATTTATCACGTTCAACGATTTTGTGATGTGCAAATGATTTATGCCTGTATAGGGGCATAAGTAAAACAGAACATGAACCCGCCAAGAGATCCCTTATCTCCTATATAGGTCGACCCAAACACTAGCATATATTACAAACATTTTGGTTGTTTTATTTGCCCTTTGTGGGGCGATAGTGCAAAATCGATTTAAACGTCGTTGTCGGGGGATCAACAGAGGAGGCGTCTTCTGCAACAATTTAACCGCGATTTTCGATGCGCTTCTTACGCATCCCAATTGTTTTCAGGAGAAGAGGTTTACATGCGCGAGATCGATAATTGCTATTTTTTGTTTATGTGACTACCTGACGTTTGTTGTTAACTTTAGAATTTGTCTGGCTCCTGTTGACGTAGGCTGGCCTTTGAGCTGTACTCAGGCTCCATTTGCCCTGCCGTCTTCGATATACATGAATTCGACTCCACTTATGCCTTTTTCCACCCTATGGGAAGCCCGAGTCGCTACAGTAATTTTGCTTGATCTAATGGATCATTGTTTATTTAATGGTAGGGAGTGTTGATAATATAACTATAAGTGGGAAGACGTAAACTACTTATCGGCGCAAATTGTAGTAATGGGAACCAGAACTTGAGTGGATTGTGGGATCGTGCTCGGTATCTATGGCCCTAAAATAGAGGAAGTGATCCCACAGCAAATGAATCGGCATGAAACACTATTCAGAATTTTTTGACTAGCTTCTTCTTCACAAAGACAAGGAAAAATAAATTATATAAATTGGATAGGTTTTAAAGCAAACGAAATTGATCTTCGAATTACATGATTGGGTAGCTTCTAGGTCGTGGAAAGTGGTCGTCAATCTCTTGTTTGCATGTGGTCTGTCGGTGGGGTTGACTGTGGTGATGCATTCTTTATAAATCGTTATGTTGTTGGAACTGAACCGAGGCGATGCAGATGCTGGAGTACCTTTTGGCCTAATTTGGAGCTTCGTTTACAACTGTTTAAAACTGTTTAAAACTGATAGGATTCTTGCTTCCTATTAGTTCAGCACGCCGTTTCTGTGTAATAGTAGGAGTTTTTCTGATGTGATGTTCGCCGTTGGGTTACTCGCGCATTGTTAATCCCTGGGTACCAACTGATACTGTTCTATCCCCTTGCAGTTTAGCATTATTTTCGTCAGATTTTCTCCATTGTCCTCCAAGTATACTTTATTGCTTTTTCAGGAAGCTACAATGGCGAACCTTCCATTTTTCGTTCTTTTACGATCTGGGGTTTTCGTTGTCGCTCTATATTTTTGTTTAACAGGGCTTTTTTCTCATTCAACTGGTCTTGTATCTAAAATTGACTGTAAGACCCGCTTTATAACAAATTAAGCCCTCGCTAGCTGTAGACGTTCAAAAAGCCCCTAAGATCTCGAACATCGTTCTCATGGTGGTAGATGGACTTCGTTCAGATATGATCTCGTCCAGGGATTATTCTATCAATTGGCCAAATTTGAATGCCATCATTGATAAGGAGGTGGTCCTGTGCTTTACTACATATTTGTCCTCTCCCAGCGTAACGAGCCCTCGAATCAAGGTTTAGTTTCCCTAGTCTTTATGATTAGCATATCATTATAGGCGATGGCAACTGGAAATATTCCTGAATTCATTGACATTTTGTATAATCTGGAGGACTCTCGTACAATCCAGCCCTCATGGGTTCAAATCATGGCAACAAATAATCGACGCCTAGAATTGTATGGTGATGATACGTGGCTGCGACTATTTCCTGGCGCATTTAAGCTTTCGGATGGAACTACATCGTTCTACGTCACAGACTTTTATGAGGTATTCATGTTTCTGTTTTAATTAGTCACTTTTGCCCACTAAAATTTTAGGTGGACGATAATGTCACACGGCACCTCGACGGTCGCCTTGCGGCCCTCCACGATTGGGATTTACTGATTCTGCATTATCTTGGACTTGATCACATTGGTCATGTCCAAGGTCCACACGGTGACGCCGTTCCAGCTAAATTACGGGAAATGGACATAGTTGTTGGAAAAATAATTTCCGCTCTGGTAATGTATTTCATGAAACTCTCGTGGGATTTATTTAAGTCAGTTCTCAAAACAAGCTCTGCAGAAGTTTTATAAATTCAGTCAGTTTATATATCTGCAGCAACATAGCGATTGTGATTGCCCTGCAGCATTTCATCTCTTAATAAGGTTTTACGTTTGTGCGTATGGGTTGATATTTGGACCTAGAATTCAAGCAAGGAAGATTGGCTGCTTGTTTTAACTGGTGACCATGGAATGAGCGACCACGGTAGTCACGGAGGTAGCTCCTTTCCGGAGCTGACCACCAGCATGATCCTCATTAGCTCCAATTTCAAGCATCAACGGACTTCGGTAAGCTGTACTTTTTGAATTGGAAATACCTATGATTTCTTTGGGTTCCATGTCCTAAAGGCAGTAATAAATTTGTATTTTTCCCACTTTTTCTTGCTTTTTTAAATTGAAAGCCACGAATTCACTTACAGAACCACCACTTTGAATGTTAGAGTAACTTGAACAATTATTGGTCGTGGACCTACTTTTGTTCTTAAAGTAGGAAAATAGTGAGGTTCTTTTGATACAGACAGTCACGATCGTTTTCATTGTTGTTCCCAGATCGTTGTTAGTTTTCCATAGTTGTAAGAAAACATGATTTGGCTCCAGATTTCATTCAGTATGTATGAAATTTGTTCCCTCTCAAACTGGGTAGGCTTTTTTCATGTTCGAGATAGGACTCACGAGAGATTTCGATAAGAGGACTATCTCGATTATGATTACCAATTGGCTTGTCTTTGTTACAGATGTGCACGATCGATGGCGACGTGTTTGAGGCTAAGTCTGACCAGACGGACATAGCCACGATGCTGGGACTCTTGACCGGTGTGGGTATTCCAGGGGGCAGTATAGGGGTGCCACCTCTTCGGATCCTGCAGACATTTTGGTCGCAACCCTTCCACCGCTATACTGTCCTTCTTGAATTGCTTGAACACCTACGCAGGCTCACCAAGTGTACCGATGCTGTATGCGCCCACGAATTTTTGACTGAGCATGATGGTGGGTCACTTCTTACTTCTCCTGGCTTGGACCGATTCTTGGTTTTTTAACAAAGTCTCTTCGATCATATACTATGCCTTGACATTTCATATTATTGCAGTACTGAAATACTGTAAGAGAATGTATTCGGCTATCCTATCGTTTAGGTTGTTGTTTATCATGCGCAAGGCAGGTGTCAATGCGAGGAGTTGAGTTGATTTTCAAATGTATAGTCACCAAAGAACTTCCTACTCTTGAATTATTACACTAAGCCATAGAATTTATTCTTTTTAGTTGTGAAACTTAGGCAGTTGTACGCGGAAATCTCGTCTTTCGTCCGGTTATGCTCAGCTAATGTGTCGCCACATCCAGTATGCGGTCGGATGGCATCTGAAATGGAGGTGGTAACAGCACAAGTCGTTAATCTGCTCATTTCTTTCCAACGAAGGACACTTCTCCACGCAAGCAATAAGGTCGATGTCGGTTCCGTGTGCTTTTCCTGTCTCGTGATGGCGGCCGTAAGCTAGATTGTTTAACCGCCTCTTCACATCCACAGTGACTTTTCATTGTTGTGCTTTTTCCCGTTAGATCTCACTATCGTTTTTGGTACCAGGTCTTCGAGAGATTTTGGCTTGGAAGGAACATTCTACCCCAAAGGTATTTAGTTCGGACGAAGTTCTTTGCATCACAAATTGTGGGCTTCCACTTATGGATTTGATTTGATGCATTTTGAATAAGCCGAGCCATCGACAACGGATTCTGGCCTACACTTTATTGGCAGTCATTTCTCTCCTTGCTCTTCTGCTTCACTTGCTCTCTCTCACGTCGAGCAGTTTAATAGAAGAGGAGCACCAGACATGGTACTTTCTTACAACTACCAACTGCTTCGCCCTCCTCCTCGTGTTGGTCCTCTCCATCCACGAAGGCGGCAGCAGCTGTGGTCGCATTGTCTGCATCACATTTGTCCTTTGCCTTGATCGCTTTTTATTGAAATTGCTCAATCAGACCGGAGATAAGTGGTTTCACCTGGCGGATCTTACTGACTGGTTGTAAGCACATATTTGAGGTGGTTTAAGGATACGTGGTAATGTGCAGATCAATTTAATTAATGCAAAGCTTTGTCTGAAAATAACACATGGGTGTGGTTTTTGGTGTTGTCGTTGCAGAGAAGAGCACTCTTTGTTTCTATGGTTGGCGCAGTCATTGGCCTGGACTGGGATCCTGCTCACACGCGGGCTCCCTTCTTCATTCAGGGGGCAATTCTCCAGGCTTCATTTGCGTACTGTACTGACTCTCGTCGCGGTTGCTCTTACCCAACTTGTCTATCGCATTGTCGTCTTCACTGCAGAACCGAATCGAATGCACTTCTCGTCCTCGTAGGTTTGACCTTCCTCTGATTTATTGATGGCGCGATTCGAGGTCACTGTATCAAGGTGCATTGCAGCCAAGCTGCGCCTTGACAAATAGAAATGCTCTACCTGCTAAAAGCTTCACTCCATTTTTACACCTTCTTTTCAGCATTTTTCTAACCTATAGGCACGTTACAAAGACGCTTCTTTAAGTCAGCAATTACTCCACATTAACGCGAAGAGACAGCATATGACAAACATTTCATTTCATCATCAAGCCAAGGTGGAGCTTGTCAAAACATTCTCAACAGGTCTCATAGAGTCACACGTTGTTTCATAAATCTATTGGAGTAAAGTTTACTTGCAAGGCGATATTGTCACATCAAACAGCTTATTAAAAGACACCGTCTGATGTCAATCTCCAAAAATCATGTTGCATGTCTCAGCACGCAACTGGAGTCTACCTTAGGCTTATTGCATCATTGGATCGTGTCCTCAAGCATGCTTGCGCAATTACTTTGTGATACCTTGTGGCCGAGCGCAATGCATGTCCTGCAAAATAGTTGAAGCCTACTTTGTGTAATTTTAGATGACCATCTTGATTGTGATGAATTTCTCTGGGTGCCTAGTGGGTTTCATGGCCCCAAAATATGCGCCACAAACGATGAAAGTGGCGCTTTTTACTCCCCAATCGGTCGGTCCAACGAACTGAGTTTTTAAAATAATTTCTTTGATAGTGGTACAGCATTTTTGAATTCAATCGACAAAACTCACTTGATCGTGAAGTGGCAGTGGATGGGAAGGCGAAACGGAATGCGGGATACGAATTATTTTGTGGCTGTTTACGTCGAATCTGCTTCGTGAAAACGCCATCAAAGTAATTTCGAGGTGGCACGAAAATGTTTATGGAAGCTATTTTCAACAAGAGAATGATCTGAATCAACTCTGCTCATTCTTATTCGCCTTTGGGCACAAAGACACTGTCAGAGCAAATTCCACTAATCGTGGTGCAATATCGGGCTTTTAGCTAAAAATAACGTTGCGACCTTATTGTATTATTTTGGGTGGTGAAATTTTTTACTGGCTCTCTGACACCAGATGGACTTCCTCGCTGCTACCAGCTCGCCTTGCCTTCGTAGCATTAGCTGCCGATTTCGTCGCCTGTCTCTGGTTTGTCGCCCGTCTTGCCGTCTGGTCGAGTGAATTCAGGGCATCGCCGCCTCTCTTTAGCCCTGCGTTATGCGAGGAATGGGAATTGCCAAGTCCTGTCCATACCCTTGCCTTACTTGCGTGTCTCTTGGGTCGCACCGCTAGTGTTCTCCTCTGGGCTGGCGTTATGATCAAGGAGCTTATGTTAACGCGAATTATTCATGCCGAATTTGCTGCTCTTGATAGTTCTTCTCCTCAAGCACGTTCCAAACTGACGTACTTCACCGTTATGCTCTATTGGATGGAAGGCTGGGTCACTTTCTTTCAACAAGTAGGGTGACATAACTGCTATTTTCACTGGAGTTTCTTCTTGCTTCTTGATACTCGATTCCCTCTTTTCATTTAGGGTAATTCAAACAAGTTTTCTACTGTCGATATGGCAGCTGGTTACGTGGGCCTCTCAGGTCACTCAAACATCTTGTCGACCATGATGGTTTTGCTTTACACATACGCGGGGCCGCTGTTCTGGCAGCTCTCCCTCTACTTTAGATATGTGTTCAAATATGGTATCAGTGAGCGAGTGATAGGAAGAGAGACACTGCTACCACACGTGAAGACCAGTGTTGTCGTGTTCGCTCTGGGTCTTCTTATGACGGTCACCACTATGTCTGCTATCATTTGCCTCTTCTTTCATTCACATTTATTCATCTGGTCGGTGTTCGCTCCAAAGCTGTTCTTCATGACTGCCTTCTGCTGTGTTTCCATTCCCATCTACGTGGTTATGCTTGCTTTTTAACATTTCCCTGTGGTCTTTCTAAACGCTTTCTACATTTTAAGTAAGTTTTGGTTTCATACGTGTTTAACTCGATCCAAGTGGGGTATAGAAGGAGAAAATTGGGCAGCAGACATTCTCAGAACGAAAAATGGTTGTGGGTGATGCGAATTGTGGAAGGTATCGTGGTGACTTCACTCAAAATCCAACGGGGTTTAGGGTCTCAAAATTTGGGTATCATTGTATGTGATGCTTCGGTTATGTGATGTCTGATGTCGAACGACTACTTTAAGACTTGTCTGGTCTTGCACCTATGGGCCGGCCTTCGGGCCAAGCTCAGATTTAAGCAATTTGCCCTTCCTAGAATTCGTGTATTCAGCTCAAATTACTGTCTTCTTCTACCTTGTGGGCAGTCTCAGGATGGTACATCGTTGCTGGTGTCTTAATCATCGAATCTTAGGCTGCATCAAGTTATTGAATCTGACGTGAGGAGTTCAAGAACCGCAACATGCGCTTGGGTTATTTATCTGATCAAGAATTACGGATTGCAACGATGACTAGCAATAATAGCTGACTGTAGCAGATTTCGGAGAGCCTTGCGATCCAGAAGACTAATTTCCATGGAGATTGTAAATTTTGTAATATACACAATCTCTCTCTAGCATTATAGCATCTTCTTAATTGATGATCCTAGCTGATTATAGACTAACGGAATACAAACTGAAGATTTTGCGTTACAGGGTGAAAATACAATAATTACGCGTCTGGACTTCGACTTGGACTGATCTGATTCCTGGGTCCATATAACTCTGCTGTGCTTGCTACAACAAAAACATTTGATAATAATATTTAAGGTCAACTACGCAACTAGGGCTTGGTCCATCGGTTGAAAAACCTAAATTAAATTTTACTAAATTTGAAGGTTAGTAATGCATTTCAAGGTAGGATTTTGAGGCTCTGATTGGTTAAGTCCGTCTTAGAGACGAGGCACTGGCAATGAAATATTGGACCAATTAGCTCAAAGATTTCGTTTATTTTGGGGTCTCACTTTCCAGGTTTTATCGTCTGAAATCTATTGTACGTCTATTGGTACATGCTCTGTCCTTTTTGAAAGTTGGTGTCTCTTACAATTCCCGCCTTTGTGTTCAGACATGTTCAGAAGACTAGTGGTAGATCTTAGTACTTCCAACTATCATATGGCTTGGGATTCAGTTCTGGTGTAACCTGTCCGTATGAATGTGAAGTTTTTCTCTATGGTGTAAGTGGGGATTAAGTAAGAGCGTGGAATCTTGTAAATACTAATATTTTCTCTCTGTTTTGAGTAAATAGGTGTACGATCCGTGTATTTTTGCAAAGAAAGCCGGTTTTGTTCACTTATCTTTCCTAAGACGGTTATGTTTTGAACACTTGCATGATATGTAGTTTTAAATTTCTTTTACTTGAAATGTAACATTTTCTTCGCCGTGCTGTAAACTAGCAAAAGATTTTCCTAATTTTTAGTTCTTAAATAGCGAAAGTGTAGGTATGCCTTCCACGAACGGTAGTAGCAGCACCACCTGCCTCTATGAAATCTTGGGAATAGATCGTGGGGCAAGTGAAACGGACATCAAGAAGGCTTATCGCCGCCTAGCTCTCAAGTGGCATCCCGACAAGAATTGTGAGACGAATAAAGAGGAGGCGGAGAGGCGTTTTAAAGAGATAAGCGCTGCCTACGAAATACTTTCCGATGCAGAAAAGCGTCGAATCTACGACAAGTATGGACTTGATGGTCTGCGTGGTACTATCTCTCGTCCGGAAACAACACCTCGCTCTGCCGCGCGTTCCTCTGCGCATCGCTCTGCCTTCTCCTTCCTTGACAATGACGATTTCTTCAACTTTGTTTTTCGTGATCCAGAGGAGATATTCCGCGAATTTTTCTCTGAACACATCAATTTGATGAATAGCTTCATGGAGCCATTCACCATGAATACGGCTAATGTTCGTCGGGCCGAGTCGAGTCGCACAGGAACTAATTCAACCATGCGTTACTCACACCCCGTGCGTCGAGCTAACACGCACATACCTGATCGAAACGGGCCTCATGTCTTCTCCTTCATGTCCACTTCTGGAAGCATGATAACGCCTAAAGATGGCCTTTCACAGAGCTTTGCTTTCTTTTCCTCTTCTCCCAACGTCGCTGCCGCCGCCCATCAGGGTGGGTCGAAATTCGCCTTTGGTGGCGGGAGTGGTAATGTACCCATTAAGGGCACTTTTCGGTCTACCTCCACAAAATTCCTTGGCGGAAAATGCGTTACCACACGCCGTGTCATTCAGGACGGTGTGGAGACTGTTACAGTGGAGGAGGATGGAGTTGTCAAATCAAAGACAGTAAATGGACAGCGGGTGGCCATATTAAGCGCGTGACGAGTTTATGACTTTTATTTTTTTAATGTTGAGGTTTTTCTCATGTTGACGATCTCCGTGACTAGCCACACTCCTTACAGAACTCTTCTCATCTATACATATTTTCATTTTCTCTTCCCTTTTGAGAACTACTCTGTGCTGTCTTTCCCCCTTTTTTTTCAATGCAAACACTGCGATTTATTTCATGCCTACACCCAGCGCTAAAACACTTTCATGGATTATATGTAACAAGTAATTTGGTTAACTGGATTTATGGTTTCTTTTTTGAAGTGAATTCGTATAATTTTATTCTTGGCTACCCGAAGTCCAACCCAAAATGGCTTCCATTGTGATCTAATAAGTAAGGTTTGGAGTTTTTCAAATTTTGTAGGGCTGGTTTATACCATATCTTTATTGTCGTTTCGTAGGAAAATCAGGGGAAAAATAATTGCTGCATCTAATGGCATTAGATTTATTTGCAATATCCAGTTTGTCATCTCTCCTTATTTGTTGAGGAACAGTCTGCTTTGTATGGTTTGAAGGGCAGGGAAAGTTTAAATTGCCGCTTGGCATTCATTAAGTTACCATTGAACGCTGTGGTATTCATCGACACTGCAGCAGAACAGTTGTTACACTGGTCTATTTATGGCACTCCGATGGTTTTGCATCTTACTTGATGTCTTCGAATTGCAGAACGTTAGTGGTGCGTGGTTTCGTTCTGAGAGCCTCCGAATAGGAAGTATATGGTGAAGAGAGGGGTGGCTGTCTATAACAATAGATGAGAGACTGGTTTGTTGTAAGTGTCCCCTGTATTTTAATGAAATTATTCCTTTGTGGTTAGTCACGAAATAATATTTAAAAAACTGGAGGACTTCAAAGGCTGCCCACATCAGATTGTGAATCCTGTAAAAAGCAAGTGGTCTTGCCTTCCTGGTTGCACAAGTTGTGGGGATAACTTGGTCTCGATACTGGCGAGTGTTTCATTGTTGAATGATGTACGAAATCAATTTTAGGCGAGAACCAACCTGTGCCCTGTTGAGAGTAAAAGAAGTGGTGAGATGAAGTTAGAGCGGCAAATCATTGATGGAGTGTTGCACACACCTCCAAACCAAAGTGTGTGCAACACTCCAAAGTGAGTGCGTCTCTTGTGCGTCACTAGTAATGATATTTGAGTTGGAATTCTGTTTTACCAAGCTATCAAAGAAATTACAGTGTTCTACAACTGCTAAACGGACTGGCACCGAATCTTATCTAATGATATTTAGCATCATCAAACGCTCCATAGGACTAAAGTCTCATTAACCAGTTTTTCTGCAAAACCGGTAGTTGGAGGTTTCATGCCTTCGTCCAAGGCAAGACGCGTGAGAATGAAGTCTCAAGCACTTCACAACACGAGATCGACTACTTTAGGTAAAACAAGGCCTAAAAGGGCAGATCCAATTGTAAGGTCTGCGGGTACTCGTTACGAGGGTATGCAGAAATTAAATGAAGCATCGTGCAAACAGAGCGAACTGCCTGAACCGTCAATTCTTTGTTACTGCGGGCGGGTGCAGCACCACAAGCCATTTAAGTTGTTTAAGATAGCCTTTGTCTTATACTTACCCATGCGGCCACCACTTGATGTGTCATGAAAGTGCGTTTCACCTGATTGGCTCCGCAAAAGGCATCCACTAGGGGATCGCCGAGGCAGCGCTGTTATTTTCCTACCTGACAGGGGCCAATGAATGTAGTGCTGCA